TTTTAAAAATTTTCCTCTTTTTTTTTTTAAAGACAGAGTCTCACTCTGTCACCTAGGTTGGAGTACAGTGGTGCGATCATAGCTCACTGCAGCCTCGAACTCTAGGCCTAAAGTGATCCTCCTGCCTTAGCTTCCCAAGTAGCTGGGACTATAGGCACTTGACACCAGGCCCAGCCAATTTTTAATTTTTTTGTAGAGATGGGGTCTTGCTACATTGCCCAGTTTGGTCTCGATGTCCTGGCCTCAGGTAATCTTCCTGCCTCAGCCTCCCAAAGTGGGAGCCACCACAGCTGGCCAATTCTGTGTTTTTGACATGTATTCAGTTGTATAACCACCAACACAATCATGACATATAAGGGGCATTTCTGTCACCCTCCAGATTTCTTTCTGCCTCTTTGCAGTTCATCCCCTTCTCACACCCCTGGGCCTTGGCTTGCACTGATGTACATTCAAATACTATAGCTGTGCCTTTTCTATGATTTCATATAAATGGAATCATACAATAACTTATCTTTGGTATCTGGCTTCTTTCACTTTGCATAATGTTTTTGAGATTTATTCTGTTGTATGTGTCAGCAGTTTCAGTTAATTGTTAGGGAATATGTCACTGTATGGACATACCACAGTTTGTCCATTTACCAGTTAGTGAGCTCATGGATTCTTTCCAGTCTGGGCTATTAGTACATTGCACTTAGGAGATTAGAAAATCTCCTTCAAGAGAATTTTGCATACCAAGTACAGTTTTGCCTGAAGCAAAAGTGTGCATGTGTGTGTTAGAGAAGATGGAGTGGATTTTCAGTTAAAATAGTAAGGATAATACTACCACAATTATGTTTTAATATTAACAATTTCAAAAGATAGCACATTTATTTCCATACTCCAGTGCCAACATCAAGTCCAACTATAAGCTCAGCAATAAGTTTTAATTTTAAATCCATTACAAGTTAATAGCTCATTTCTTGTGTTAGGTGCAGTGCTGAGGTCTGATGTACATGGAAGAGCAAGAAAGATTGGGCCTCTGTCCTTTTAATGATAATTTGACAGCAGCAATAGACCTGCATAGAGCAGTAGGCAAATACGGTGATGTGGGTGTGGTAGGAGATGTGAACAAACCAACTAAGTGTCCAGTTCCCACAGGAGAGACTGATTTGGTTAAACAGTATCTCGGATGACAGGTAAATACTTCTATAACACCAGTTATTAATACCAATTAGATGTCCAGAGTTCATTAATTTGTTAATAATTTATTTTGGACCCTTTGTGGAGATGAGGATCCTAAAGGAATAGTAAGAGCCTTATAACTTGAAGGAGCTACTTAACCTCAGTTTATACAATTATGAAATGGAATCTAAGGGACACTCGTAGTATTATTACAAGAAATTATTGAGTTACTACATACAAAATAATTAAATTCTTGCCTAGTACCTAATGGGCTTTCAATAAATATTTCCTCTTAGAATTACTATTATATAAAGCGGGGCAAAGCTGATGACCCAGTCCGTGACTTGCAGGAGCACCACTGAACACTAGGTGGCAGCACCGAGCCTTGTTTTCTGCTCACTGCACCCACGCTGGACTCCTCGCAGTTGCCCTGTTTGGCCACGTTGATATCTTATAACCTTTTTTCCCTTATCTTCTGATGGGAGTGTTATTATTGGAAGACAATTTGGTTTTTTTTTTTTAACCTATCAGACCCTTGATATGGGGGAAAATTGGTACAATTTACAGGGCCTTGTGGTCTTATGCCCACACTGACCATGTTTTATATCAGCGTATATTTGATTTTGCTGGTAAAGCAGCCAAAGACAAATTATGCAATTTCACCTGCTCCTGGCCAGGCTGTGGCCTGTCCAGTATGACAGAGTTATGCCTGAGACCAGGATCAGTGCACCTTCAAATAGGCAGTGCACACCTGGCTCTTCTTGGGTGGCCCAAACACAACTCCAGCTAGGCAGGCTAGCAAATGGCTTCCAATGAAAATGGCTCAATGCCGAAAACAGTAAAAAAAAAAAAAAGATTAAATGTCTAAAGAGTATTCTCGATGTTATTTCAAACAGTAATGTAATTTAGCAACTGAAAACTTCTAAGAAAAATGAGTTGAGAATGAAGACAGTATTTCTCAATGAGGATATACAGCCTCAACTGCACTACCTGCCCACTTTCCTTTTACACACAAGCCCCCTTAGGGTCTTATCACACTGTCAAAGTTTATGACAGGTCCCAGTGAAATCCCATCCTCAAATGCAATCGCTCCCATTTCCACACTCCAAAAGCATCGGATCTGTGCCTGACTTTTACTGCCTTTACCACTGACTGTCTTTGGTTGAAGTTACAAGGTTGTGGGCTGAGCTTTGACTAGGATCCTTGAAAGGTTAGGTTATGCCAACTCCTATGACTTACAAAATGCGTGATTTTAAAAGTCACTTAATGTCTCTAATCTCCTTGTTCAAGGGCCAAGAATACTCTTATTTATGCAGAGTTGTCCTATGAGGGATAAAGAAAGCAGGAGAATGTGATTTCTAAATCATAACTGGTCACAGAAGCATTACTTGTAAAAATACTACTTCCCTTTATTGTGGCCATTGCTGTTTCTTTGGGTTTCTCTGGGATGGGAGGCTGGGGATGGGTGGGCTCTGTGGCGTAGGGCTGTTAGGAGGCAGAATTGTCAATAATCAATGAGACCTTTGGTCTTGGAGATCACATACCGGAAAGTGATGCCAGGATGATGGCAAAGAAGTGAAAGAGCTTACAGGAAAGGTCTTGTCATTCGCGGAGGGTGAAGAGGTTCTGGCTTTTTATTCATCGAAAGTTGAGAGCTTGTGTGTCAGGCACTGTGTTGACTACCGAGGATATAACTGTGAACAAAAGCAAAGTCTCTGATCTCATGAAGCTTACATTCCACTGGGAGGATTCAGACAATTAAAGATCTGTATCAGGTGGTGATAAGTAAAAAAATAAAGCAGGTCAATATATGGAGAGTGTGCTTTAGATCGGCTAGACAGAACAGCAGATCCTTCTGATACGAGAACAGATAAGAACTGAGTGAGTCACGCACACATCAGGGTGAACAGGGTGAAGGGTCGCCCTTGTAGCAGGAACAGCAAATGCAAGAATCTGGAGGCAGCAGTGAGTCTTGGTGCTTTTAACACTGAGGTTGTGTTTTGGTGGGCTGAGAAAACGTCAGACAGGTGGAGGCTCACATGAGACCCTCTTCTCCAGGGCCTGAGTTTATCCCTCCATCCAATAGGAGGAAAAGGAAATCATAATGCCTGCTCCGATAAGGGTGGAAATTGGTATCTCATATGAGCCAGGGTAAAGAGAGTGTTGGAAATTGAAATGAGAAGCCCTTGTTACCCCAGGAGTCTGGCCTCTTTATCCAGGACAGGACAGTCAGCATCCTTTTATCCCCCCGTCCCCTTTCTTACCCTGATACTTTTTTGTTTGCTTATTAATCTAGGCAAGAAGTATTTTAGAAGTCAGGCGGGGCTAGCAGGAGCCAGGAGAGTAGCTACAATGACTTCAGTGCTGGTGGACATACAAGAGGAGGTGACCTGCCCCATCTGCCTGGAGCTCCTGACAGAACCCCTGAGTGTAGACTGTGGCCACAGCTTCTGCCAAGCCTGCATCACACAGAACAGTGGGAAATCAGTGACGAGCCAGGCAGAGGAAAGCAGCTGCCCTGTGTGCCAGACCAGCTACCAGCCTGGCAACCTCCGGCCCAATCGCCATCTGGCCAACATAGCCAAGAGGTTCAGAGAGGTAGCCTTGGGCCTGGGGAAGCACCCGGAAGTAATTCTTTGTGCAGACCATGGAGAGAAACTCCAGCTCTTCTGTAAGGAGGACGGGAAGGTCATTTGCTGGCTTTGCGAGCGTTCTCAGGAGCACCATGGCCACCACACGTTCCTCATGGAGGAGGTTGCCCAGGAGTACCAGGTGGGAGCCCAGGATGGAAGGACATGGGGAGGAATGGGGTCCTTGGTGGGAGATTTGAAATTTTATCATGCTCTCATCTAATTTTTTATAGTCCTCCCATTTATCTAGAGGATGAACCTAGAAACTTTGTGGTTAGGTGCTTCCCCCAGGAGGACAGGGAGTCAGCCTACTCCTGTTGGTTTCCATCCCTCTGTATAAAAGATATGTTGGCCAGAGGTTTTCCATCCTAGGGCAGGGTAGGCCTGTTGGGAGGTCAGCATAACCTCTGCCTCATTCATTCCCTATCTGGGTAGTGAGGCAATTGGAAGCTTACTGCTGCTTGACCTCGTGTGTTTCTTCCAGGAGAAGTTCCAGGAGTGTCTGAAGAAGCTGAAAAAAGAGCAGCGGGAAGCTGAGAAGCTAGAAGCTTTCATCAAACGGAAGAGGGTATCCTGGAAGGCAAGAAGGACTCCTCCTGAGGGTGTCCTGGGTCGGGAATCGGGGCAGGTCATGGCAGCCTAGGGCAAAGGAGTCCTGGTCCTGTCTGTCCCCTGATGTTGTGTCTAGAAGAGCTTTCCTTTGCCTAGTCCCTGGCTGCATCCTTTCCAAACTGGGGGAGGAGAGGGGTAGCTAGATAGCAAACATACCAAAAGTGAACCAAGGTTTTTGGAGATAATCACATAGGAGAGGAACCATGGCTGCGGGTTGCCCTGAATTCATAATTCTGGGTCTTATTCTACAGTTTCAGTCTCACTGGCCTCCTGGGAAAGACAGGTTAGTTCCAGGCCAATGATCCCTACATCGACACTCAGAATTGAAAGGAGAAGCTGGTGCAGAGTCAAGAGAGACCAGGGAGGCTGCCTGGAATCTAAACCTCATCCAGGAATCAGAGTCTGTATCTAGAAGGTCTAGATCAGGCAGCCTGGGGCTAATGGTCTGGGGAGAGCTGAAGGGGGAGCAGAAGGAAAGAACAGGTTCTGCAGGCCGGCACCTGCGGGCGTTTACCCTTCCCCTGACAGTGAGGCCTGGCTCAGGAAAGCAGTGCCCTGTAGAGGAGACCCTCAGCCCAGCAGATGAGAGCCTCTTTCTCGTCCCTGTGTTTGAAGAATCAGATGGCGCCTGAGAGACGCAGGATCCAGACAGAGTTTAATGATCTGCGAAGCATCCTGGACAAAGTGGAGCAGCGGGAACTGAAAAAGCTGGAGCAGCAAGAGAGGAAGGGGCTGAATATTATAGAAGAGGCTGAGAAGGAGCTGGCCCAGCAGAGCCAGTCCCTGAGAGAGCTCGTCTCAGACCTGGAGCATCGATGCCAGGGGTCAGTGATGGAGCTGCTGCAGGTAAAACCCTTGAGGGAGCCGGATCTGAGCGTCGAGAAAGAGAGGGACTAACTTTCCTTCCTTTCTTGGACATAGGACTAACATCCTCCTGGGGACACACAAAAAAATCCCTTTGTCCCTATAGTGCCTCTTCCCTATTAAACTAAAGTCATGTGGGGTAAAACATAAGATAATTTAGACTACAAATGCTAAGGGAAAGACCCATTTTTATTTGTACAGGGTGGCCCAAAAGTTTATTTGATACTGTGGAGAAGATCTGTTGTATCCAGTGATGTTCTATAGAAGGGTTTTCCAATCTCGGCACTATTATCGACATTTTAGGCTGGATAATTTTTTTGTTGTGAGAGGCTCTCCTGTATTTTGTAGGATATTTAGCAGCGTCCTTGGCATTTACCCACTGGATGTCAGCAGCACCACCCCCGGTGTGACAACCAAAAACTTTTCCATATATCCCCAGGGAGTGCACTGTTCTCCCCCGGGTGAGAACCATTGCTCATCAGGCACTTGTTTCTGATGCTGCGCTGGGACTTGTCAGGTGCTTTTTACCCAGCTTAGTCACAGGCAAACACGTGCCAAACTCAAGTTGTTTGAGAATTTTGTATGTAATTCCAGCCCTTCTTTGCTTGTATTCTCTTCTCTAGGGCTCTGGGGGTTGGGCTCTGGTCCCTGTGTATGTAGGTTGGGTGGGTGGAAGGTATCAAGTCTAGAGAGGGTGGATGGAGGAACGTGAACTGAGGTTGACATTTGAGCAGCTGCTTTCTACATAGAGTGAATAGTGTGACCTTGTGATATTCTGCTGTTGCTTTTTTATTTGCCTTCTTGCTTTCCTCTTGCTCTTTCTTTGGTAGTAGAATAATTATCTGTTTACTTATTATTCTTGGGTGTTAGGATTGGAGTCATGGGGTAGTTGCTTTCTACCTAGTAGAGCTTTTCTTCATTCACTGTTTTCTGCTTCACATCTTCATTTTTTCTTCTGGCCTCTTGTTCTTGTCTTTGATATTAGGTTACCCTAATACTTTCTTCTTCACCCCTTTGCTCTAGCTCCTCAACAGACTCCTCGAACTATAAAAATTTTTCCTTAAATGAAAACAAATCAAAGCACCACATATACTCACCATCAAATTGGTTTTAACTGATCAACACTTAAGTGCACATATAGTATAACATTCATCGGGTGTTGGGCCGGGGGAGGAGGGGATGGGTATATTCACACCTAATGGGTGCGGTGTGCACCGTCTGGGGGATGGACACACTTGAAGCTCTGACTTGGGTGGGGCAAAGGCAGTATATGTAACCTAAACATTTATACCCCTGTAATATGCTGAAATAAAAAAAATGTTTAAAAAAAAGCAAACAATCATCAATTCACATTGCTAGTCCAGATACTCCCACACTCAGTGGTATGACTGCTCCATGGACGTTTAAACTTGAGTGTTACCTAACAATCAATTTTCCAGAATTCTTCCATCCTGTGAGACTCTTTCTTCTTTTCCATATGTGTATGACATTGTTGCCCACTAAGATTTGATAGCCAAGGTATAAGCTTCAAAATGTGAGCACTGAGAATAATGTCAACATAAGAGAAATAGCCATGAAGTGGCACACCAATTTGATCATTTACACTCCTCAGTACAGCTGTGATTTAAGATTGATATAATCCTGGATATTTAATACAAATTGACACATCCAACTCCTCTGCCACTTCTGCCTTCAAACTAGCTTGAGTTGTATTTCTGTGGAATGCAACCATAAATAGCCCTAATACAGAGAAAATAGTTATTCCTCTGTTAGATCAAACCGTTGGCCTTTTCTTCAGGGTTATTGAGGTGTATAGAGCAGAATTAAGAGAGACCAAATAGACAATTGGACAGTTCTGCTGAAATAAGACCAGCAGTGGCAATGATGAAGGTGAACGGCAGGTGTCTAAAAGAAGTTAAGAGTGTGAAATGGACTGGTTTGGCCCACAAATGGGGTGTCGGGGTGAGTATATGGCAGTTTTCGTGACAGTATTTGGTGACTGAGTGGATGTTAGTATCAGACAGGAGGATAGAAGATATGAGAACGGTTGCATTAATAAGTTTTCTTTTAAACATCTTGAATCTGAGGTTCCCATGGCTTGTTGGCTGGGGTATACATTAATCTGGATCTGCGAGATCTCAGCAGAAGTACATATTTGGGAATCATCAACCTATGTGTGTTGATGTCAGGGGATGGATGAAGTCAGCAAAGGTTGGGTAGGAGGTTAGAGGAGGTGAGGTCTGAGAAACAGCCGTATTTAAGGCCCAGGAACCTGTGTCTTAGGCAATCAGAATAGAATGTAAGCTACTCAAGGGTGGAAATGATGACTTCATCATCTGAGATTCTCTAGGACCAGGCACAATGCCTGACAAATGATAGACACTCTCCATACATAACATCATACACATGCGCGCGCGCGCAGAGTTGTAGAAATAAAGGTACTTATGAGTCAATTGAGTCGTTTTCTGATGTCTTCGCATGAGCTCTCAGGGACTGTCTGCACTGAGTTTTTATCTCTACTTCGTGGCCTCCACGCTGGGGCTGGCTTTTTTCCTGTCATGTCATGGGGTGGTGGAGAGAGAATGAGGAATTTGGATGAGACATGACCTACTAATCCTTAATTTAACCTGTCTTTTTCCTTCCTAGGATGTGAGTGAAGTCACAAAAAGGTATGTGTAGGAGAACATGAGGTGGTTCCCTTGGACTGATAAACAATTCCTGTGCTCCTAGAGTTATCCTGTGGTCAGTGGTAAAGGGAAACAGGGAGGATTCAAGACTGTTATGTCTTGAATTGCTCATCACATGAGAATTTGGGGGTTCTAAAATAAAGGGAATGGACTGGCTTTGGTGGTAGAAGGATTTGGGTGATGGGAGGTCACAAATTGGGGATGGTAGAGTGTCAGCGACTCCTCTACCACTGCATCACGTGACTCCTTTTCCACAAACCTCTGCACCTGCTTTTAGCCCTGAGTCTCATGGTTTATAGCCACCTCAAAACACACCACAGGGATTTTCTTTGCACATGCATTTTATCAGAGGGAAATTCCCATCAGCATTGTTTCCCAAGGCCCAAGAATTTTCCCTTGGGACATCTGCCGTAAGTTTCCTTTTCTCCTTTGGCTTTGGAACAGTCCAGGCCTTGCTACCTGGTTCTCAGATTTCCTTTGGTCTCATTCGCAGTAAGAACCGAGGCCTGAGATTTTGAGCGTAGTGGTATTTGGCCCTGGAACAAAACATGCTCTCTGTCATATACTCTGGAATCTCATGGAACAGGGTGACATCTAAAGCTTCCCCCACACCTGGTACCTTCATGCTCCCCACAGACATGAAATATGAAGCCCACTGTCCCTTCACTCTCCATTTGGAGGTGAGGACGTCTCCTTTCTCCATCTGGCGTAACATTCCCAGAGACAGAGAATCCTAAGATGCTGTTTTGAAGGCCTTTCTCCTTTGGGTTTCTTAGAAACCCTGGGGCCTAAGCTCACAGACTCTACCCAAGGAAGCTCTTCACTTGATACTTTCAAAGCCCCCGTAGCGGGTTCCTGGTGATCTGCCTGGCAACCCAGACGTCTCCAGCCCTGCTGATAGGTATTGACATTGTAAATAGTTTATATCTTTTTTAGAGATAGCAAAGGATTCCCCAGTCATTATTTTACTGAATTTCATACTATCTCTAGGACACAGAGAAAGGAAAATTACTGTACTTGTATTGTATTCGGTATTGTTCTAAAAACAACAACAGAAGAATGAGGCTTTAGGAGGTTACATCTTACCAAAGTCTACATAGATGGTGAGAAGCTAGTTTCTAGGCCAGGTCTTCTGGCTCCAGTGCCAGGGCTCTTTGCAGAATGATGTCGAGTTTCTTCAGGGAAGTGCTGAAGTTCATCGATGGGCCTGGGAGTGAGGGGGACAGAGTGTTGGAGGAACCCACAGTCGGCAGTGTGAGGACTCACGAGGTCTGTCCTCTCCAGAAGTGAGTTCTGGACCCTGAGGAAGCCAGAAGCTCTCCCCAGCAAGCTGAGAAGTACGTTCCGAACCCCAGACCTGAGGAAGATGCTGCGAGTGTATAGAGGTAAGGAGGTTCGGGGAGAGAGTTTGGTTGCCGAAGAAATGAACAGGGTAGAGCATATAGTTGGTATCTGGGATAGTGGCCAAGGGGGAAGTCCCAGAGGGAGGCACATAGTGTGCTGAAGAAGATGCAGTTTGTGTTTAGGGGAAGACGACACAGCCAGTTCACATCCTCACAGAATTCCCTACAACTCCCCTCAGTCTGAGAAGGGGAGGGAGATCAGAAACTGAGACCATTGGTCCTGTTCAACATTGTTGACTCCCTTCATAATTGCAGAGCTGACCGATGTGCAGAGCTACTGGGGTAAGTAGAAACCGCGACCTCTGAGCTGACACACGCGTTCCCCTTTCCCGTGCTCCTCCCTGGACGTCCCCGCGCACGCACAGCTCTGCGCCTCGAAGCCTCCCCGTCCCCCACCTCAGCGTCTCAGTTCCTCCCGCCACCTCCCGTGTCCCCTGTTCTCGCTGTTACAGCACCCACATACCCATTCTCATCTGCTGATGTTGTACCTCTTCCTGCAGTGGACGTGACTCTGAACCCGCACACGGCTAATTTAAATCTTGTCCTGTCTAAAAACCGGAGACAAGTGAGATTCGTGGGTGCGAAGCCATCTGAGCCTTCCTGTCTGGAAGAGCATTATGACTGTAGTATCCTGGGCATCCAGTACTTCTCCTCAGGAAGGCATTACTGGGAGGTGGATGTGGCCAAGAAGACCACCTGGATCCTGGGGGTGTGCAGCAATTCAATGGGACCCACCTCCTCTCTCAGCCAGTGTGCTAAAAATCCCAATGCTTACTCGCGATACCAGCCTCAGAGCGGGTACTGGGTGATCGGGCTCCAGCATAAACACGTGTACAGGGCCTACGAGGACTCCACCGCGGCCCTGCTTCTCTCCATGACGGTGCGCCCTCGCCGGATTGGGGTTTTCTTAGACTATGAGGCTGGCACTGTCTCCTTTTATAACGTCACGAACCATGGCTTCCCCATCTACACTTTCTCTAAATATTACTTCCCCACCACCCTGTGCCCATATTTTAATCCTTGCGACTGTGTAGTTCCCATGACCCTGCGTGGCCCAAGCTTTTGAACGTTCTGCTGTCTGCTGTCCCCACCAATCTGAGCTGTACCCTTCACCTTGCGGCTTATCTGCACATGGTTCTCCTTTCCGATCTCCTGTTTTTGTGTTCTCACTTCTTTCCTTTTGAACATTTATTCAGTACTAGGATGTGCCCAGTGGTGACAATCAACATCCTTGACTAATTACAGACCTTGCTGTGGGTAGGGGGGAGCGTGATATTTTGCCATCACGCATGGCATTTGATAGAGGTTTTCAGTTGATGCAGAGGATCAAAGAAAACTCTCTATTAATTTGCTATGAGTTTTTGTACTGAATGAAAAATTGGATTCAACAGATTTTTTCCTATAATTATTGAGATAATCTTATGTAATTTTATTGTTATGATAAATTAAGTAAATTGTTTTATTTCAGTTGTTAAATCTATCACAGATTCCTGAAATAAACCATTATTTGTTATATACAATACTGGATTTGTTTTTCCTAACACATTTTTTAGATTTTGTTTTCATCTAGCCTATAATTTTGCATTCTTGTGATATCTTTGTCAGGTTTTATAAAATGCAGTACTGAGTAAAGAAATTGCTGTGCTTTTGTGTAATTATATATAGGATTGAGCTCTAAAAACAAAATGTAATGTTAATTTGAGGAGCTTTAAATCCAAATTGAAGGAGATTGTAACTTTAGTCTTCTACAATCTTCAACCTTCATCTATAAATTTAAGAGTAACAATCAAAAAATAAAGAAAATAGATCTTTCAAATGAATTGAAGTTTAAAAAAAGAGAGGGGAACAGGAAAATGATCAGTTCAATACACATTGTTCTCTCAGAATGGGAAGAAATGCAAAGAAAAAATATGATTAATATAAAGCACTTACAGGAAGAGGATGATTTCTTCCAGCTTCTCTACACATCCTCCTTTATTTTTTTATTTTTATTTTTTGACACAGATTCTCACTCTGTTACCTAGGCTAGAGTGACGGGCGTCAGCCCTGCTCACAGCAGCCTCAAACTGCTGGGCTCAAGCAATCCTGCTGCCTCAGCCTCCCGAGTAACTGGGACTAAGAAATAAATTTCCTTGGTATCTGATCCATTAAATATTTTTTGGATTTCTTTTTCATAACAGTTTAGCCTGCTCTATCACACTAAAAATGTGAAGCCTAGAAGGCCTCTACCCAACCCCCACTTCAAAAAAAGGTCAGGGCTGCAAACTTACTCTCATAAGTGTCCCCTTCCCTCTTATTTTCCCATGCAATAAGCTCTAGGAAAAAGAGGTTAGCCCAGGCTGGGCGCGGTGGCTCACGCCTGTAATCCTAGCACTCTGGGAGGCTGAGGCGGGCGGATTGTTTGAGCTCAGGAGTTCGAGACCAGCCTGAGCAAGAGCGAGACCCCATCTCTACTTAAAATAGAAAGAAATTAGATGGACAACTAAAAATATATAGAAAAAATTAGCCAGGCATGGTGGTACATGCCTGTAGTCCCAGCTACTCGGGAGGCTGAGGCAGGAGGATCGCTTGAGCCCAGGAGTTTGAGGTTACTGTGAGCTAGGCTGACACCAGGGCACTCTACTCAGGGCAGTAGAGTGAGACTCTGTCTCAAAAGAAAAAAAGGGGGGGGTGTTAGCCCAACGAGTAAACTTCAAATAAGTTCACTTGGAGAACCTAAAGAGGTGTCTAGTAAATGGCCAATGAAAGCCAAAGTACTTGCTGGAATTCTGTAGGTGAGACCTGGGGAAGGTTGCCCAAACAGACTTGGGGGAAATTATGAGAGTAAGTTTGCAGCTCTGACCTTTCTTTGAAGTGGGGGCTTCACCCGCACACCCTAAAGTAGTTACTATTTGACACTTCACCAAAAAGTTTGTTGATTGTTACTGTATATTGCTTTGTGCTGTTAACAAAGATAAGCCACAGCTATGCCAATAATCAAAGAATAAACGAAAGAGGGCCTGACTTAGAGCAGAGGCTTGGGGATGGAGAGACAGTGGAAACAGGACTATAGAAGACAAATCAAGTTGTGTCATATTCATCTAACACTGCGGTTCCCAACCCCAGGCTGCGGATGGTACCGGTCTGTGGCTTTTAGCACAGCAGGAGGTGAGTAGTGGGCAAGTGAGGCTCCATCTGTATTTACAGCTGCACCCCATCGCTCGCTTCACCACCTGAGCTCCACCTCCCCCGACCCTGCCACGGGGCCCCCTGCTTCTGTGGAAAAATTGTCTTCCATGAAATTGGTCCCTGGTGCCAAAAAGTTGGAGACCACTGACACACACCAACATCCTACTATGTAATTCAAGAAATTGAGATTATAGTTAACGTTAGGGAGAACTTGCCAGTTACCATCTGCAGAAAAGGTTATATATAACGTGGGCACGACAGTTCTCACCCCAAAGCTCCTCTTTTATTTAAGTTTAGGACATAATAAAGATGATCCGGCCTTCGGCAGGAGATGGTTTGCTCTCATACACACGGGCATGGAGTAGGATTACTGAAGCCTCTTCATTTAAAGGCTAAACTAAGATCAAATGGTAATATGATTATAAGTTAAAGGAGATAGAACAATATGAATGGAATTAGTGGAGAGTATATTAGAAGATTGAGGAAGGAAGGGGAACAACCAAATCTGGAACATACACTTGGTGATCTGATTATGCCAACCCCTAAGGCAGATTGTAAATGGGTTCTGCCCCTTACCTTGCTACTGCCAGGGAAATTATTGATAGGATAATTTCATCTTGTAAGAAGGATTATGGAGTCTGTTTACCAATAACAATAAAATCATTGAGAGAAGGAGGACAAAAGTCCTCCAAAAACGATTGGTAAAACTATTATCATAGGAGGTAAAGAATACCGAGAGATATTCTTGACATAAAGATGTGGTAATAACACATTTTGTTGACAAAACTTCCCAAGGAGAAGCCATACCCATGCAATTTAAATTCCCACACGTAATAAATGTTGGCCATTGGTTTTCTCCCATAGTCTTGGATTGATGCACTGCTCTGATGTAGTCAATACCAGTTTCTAAATTAGGGTAATTGTGATAATTATTCTGTGCTCATTATTATAGAACATTTGCACATTGTCTTACTGGCATTAACCAAAACCAAAATAAGTTACACAGATAAAACAGTAGATTGTTACAATGTATAAAAAATTACACTATATATTAAGGACTACAGAGAGTGCTGGGGTGTTAGAAATTCTCTCTTCATTAAGTAATCCATGTGACTTGTAAAGAAGTTTTGAATTTCGACAATGGACTAAGAATTAAATAAGATAGTCCATTGAATAGTCAACAAGTCAGCATCAGTTGTGCTGCATGTTTGATGAATTGATAGCTTAAAACAAAATAGGTTGGTATATATCTGATCTGGCTAATACTTACCTGTGTGTGTGTCTATGTACTATCAGTAAGGCCAAACAAGACTAATTTGTCTTCACTTGGTTCAGAATGTGATATAACTTTATAGTCTTACTTAGAGTCACCTGTTTATTATACTCTAGTAGACAAAATGCCTGATAGATTTCCCTTTTCTGTATTTCATTTTATGCATGACATTCTGATAGTAGTGTGAAACTAAGCACGAAATGTATCAGAAAAGGTGGTATAGTTGATAATGCTGCATGGACAGAATGTAAATCCAAAGTAATGACAAGAGTCTGCTCAGACAGCAAAATTCCCCTGAATACCCGGAATGGGTGGGACCGAAGATACCCCTAGTCTAGAAAACATTTGTATTTAGTAATGCCTACAGGCAGCAGTTGGTAGGTACATTTGATTTATGGAAACACCATATTCCTTACTTTCCCGGTAATGGCTACTAAATACCAAGTAACAAAGAAACATGATCAATTTCAGTGGCCTCCAGAGCAATAGGAGCACTCTTTGTGCTACTACAGAACATTCAGGTGGCTCTGCCTTTAGGATCATGGAATAAATCCAAATCCCTGTGATTTACATGTCAAAGACATAGGGAAGATGACAACTGGAATCTGTAGTGATGGCTGTGGGTAACAGCACGAAACAACCTTTGAGCTTTGCGATCTGCTAATGAGCACACATGGTTTTGGAAAAAACATACTTTTCAGTACCTATAGTCACTGACTATTTGACCCATGATCTGTCAATCACTTTATATGGAGACTGTTCTGTATTAGTGTTGAGCCAGGGCTGGGGAACCTGCAGCCTTAGGGCCACATGTGGCCTTCTGGACCTTTGAGTGCAGCCTTTTGACTGAATCCAAATTTTATGGAACCCTTTTTAATAACATCCAAGATATTTCAAGACAGGTTAGGGAACCACATGAAATGTAAATATTATATACAAAACAATCAAAAGGAGTTTATAATATTCAAAATGTAGGGACTCCTATAACTATATTGCCCATAAATGATACTAAGAAATATGAAAGTTGGGTCCTAGCTTATGTTCACTAAAGCAACGATGAAAAATTTAAGTTGAAAGCTTATGTGAAAAACAAAATAATTCCATGTGGAAATGTTAATACCACAGTCAGGAATGCCAATGGAGATATAAAATAAAAGAAATGGTGGGAAAATCAGCCTAATATGATGAACTGTATACCTTGCATATTGATTATTATAAAATAGTGGAAACAAGTACATGATTATTTTGACTCTTGAGCCTTCGTTGTGGATAACATCAAACACAAATGGACTATACTTTGGGGATAAAAAAGATTGGACTATGAATTTCCATTATCAATATTTTGATGTCCCCAAAACAGTTGCAGTGATAATCACATGACTATACAAGACTATGCTACCCTCAATCCACTAGTATTGAATTATAGTAAATATTAAGTTAAAGAACGTGGAAGCAATGTGCTTCTCCCTAGGTGGAGTAAGGCTCTGGTAAAGTATTTTCCAATGGAGCGTAGGCCTTTATTATGCAGGATGCTCTGAGCATATTTCAAAATGGTTCTTTTACCCTCCCTCTGCTAGAGAAAAGAAAGGATCTTTTTCTTGGCTTTTCACTATAGGAACCGGATTTGGTTTGTGGAGGTAAATTTCAAGAAAGTATGGGCTGTGGCCCCAGGAGTTTCTCACTGTTTAAGCTAGTACACACTCACCCTCCAGTAATTTGTCAAAATTACCATTTAAGTGTTTCTACCAGTGTATATGGCTCATGCAACTTCTGCTCTAGGTAAGTAGATTTAAGCTATTATTCTCTGTATTTACCCACCCGTCTCCAGGGTTCAGGGTGGCAATTTGTCCTCTGACCTTAATTCTCCGATGAGTCTAAAAACTGATTTTTAGTTGATCCAGTCTTTTCTTTTTGCAAAGATAGGAGTAGTGACTTTAAAGCCTTTTACATGTTGGAACTAAAACTGGAAGTCTCTGATATGCGTTTCTACTTCTGTAATAGTTCTCTTTCATTGGAACCCCTTGTCTGTCTGCCCCACTAAGTCTCCATTTTTCAGCTTGCTGGCTCGCATTGTGACTTACAGCGATAGTGGGAGGGTCAGAAGTGCTGTCGTGGGCTCCCTCAGCAATGGTGTTGGTCAGGGTCATCTTTCTCCCGGTTAGCCTCATCCTTTCCAGTGAGGTGAAAGGCGATGGTAGTCCTCAGGAATGAGGTAAAGCCTGCTCTGCTCCTCCAGTGGGACTGTAGGGCAAATGCCACTGCTGCAGTGTTCCAGCAGCACGGTGGAATCCCCCTGTCTTTTGACATTTTAACTGCCAACTCTCCTCTATACCTGCTTTGGAACAGGCAAAGCAGTTGCTACTCTGGTCTCTGTTCTCTCAGGATTTTTTTGTCTTCATCCCTTGGTGACCTGTGGTGAGGGAAGGGATTCCAAGTCATATATCAATATATCTATGTGTGGATACACACCACTATCTCCAGTACTCTTCCACGGAAACTAGGGGAAATCCATTTCTATCCATTTCCCTTGACCCCTGCTACCGTGCTCGAGGCTCTGACTCACTAGGAACGTCCTGCACACTCTTGAATTATTGATAGGAAACTCTCCAGGAATATTCATGTCTTTCATTCTCAGAATTTTCAGCTCCATAGTCTCAAAATGGGACACTGGTTACAGAGAGAAGACTTGGAATAGCAAACACAAACAATGTCTGCACGCTAGGGGTCATCACCTTTTTAACAGAGCCTCCTGGCCTCAGAAATAGCACCCTCTGCTGACAAGACTATGATGCCTGTAAGTTGCTTCCAATTTTTCTGTTCTCAGGAAAAGATCAGAAAAGGAGGAGATCTGTTTTCAAAATAAAAAGCCCAGTGGGTACCAAGCATGAGTTCTCACCATGCAAGAGTCAGTTCCAGGGCTTCCCTTTCCCATCTCTGGAGGGGTATGTGGTAATCATGCCCTTTTGTATTCTGGGGTGTTGGGTCATAATTAGAGGTGCAACATCCACAGAGGAAAGTTTAGGTGAGCTCAGGAGAATCTCAGGGCATGAGGAGCCCTCAACCTGCATGATGGTCCATGGACAATGTGCAAGAAGCAGTATCTGGGGCCATCACTAGATGGTCAAGTTTCTCACTCCCAGTAATCTGAAATCCTTATTGGAATAGACACAGAACCTGCAGTAATTTGTGTGAAATTCCAAGGATCTTTAATTTTCCTAACGACAATGCTGGGTAATGTCTCGATCATGCCTCCAACACCACCTCTGTTTTTCTTATTGTTATTGTTGTTGTTTTATTTGTTTTGTTTTTAACCTCAGCTCCTCAGCCCTTCCCCCTCCACAGTTCCCCACTTGAGGTAGGCACCTCCCAATTCAAGTGACTCTCATCTACTTTCCCTGGGGTGGGACACGGGGAATTGTCTTTCTCCTCCAGGTGGCTTTGCCACTGGGAGCACACACATATGGTCCTAGACCCTAAATCTTTAAACTTAAGTGTTTTAAGATATTCTTAAGAATATTGGAGACTTACAAAGCTCATATTTTCTTCAAGTTATGGAGGGGAAAACACCTTATAGTAATAGATAAATAAATTTTATCTTTCTACTCCATGTCTTTAACCTCTTTTTGTTATTTTCTTTTTGTTATTTTAAACATGCCATTATTCCAAGTGGTCATCTTTAACAAACTCATACAATTTTACAATATTAATATTTAATATGGGACAAAAGTGCATTTTTGTTATTTAGTGTGTCATAGGAAGGCTAAAGTTAACAGACGATGCTTCACAGGTGGCCCTTGTGTTCAGAGAGGCCCCAGATTTCCCCCTCATTCAGTAATTGTGCTGCTCTGTATGAAAGGTTCACGAGATCTTCCTCACTGGTTGATGATCTGGAGCTGCATCCATGGGGCTGAGGTTTGAAAGTCCAAGCTGGGTTGGATTAATTACCTCCATCAGAATTGTGGTGGCCCAGGCTCCTGAATCAGTCCTTAAGCAGAGGCTGGCAGAGAAAAGAGTCCTGCTGGGCCCCGCTCTGGGAAGGCTTGGGGACCAACAGGAAATGATGCCAGTAAAGCCAGAAGTTCCTGATGCTTTACTGCTGCACTGGTGTCTCTGAATAATTTCCCAGCTCTCTCTCTCTGCTTATCTAAATGAGGCTTGAGGATTTGATCCCAGCCCATCTCTGTCAGCCTCTTTTTTGTACACTGAGAGCCCCAAGTACAGTCCCGTGGAAATATCTGCAGATTCTTGAATGCACCAAACTTGCTAATTTTTCTGTCCAGGCCATTTCTGCCACCCAGAAGCACAGCTCTGGGTACCAGAGGAACTCCTGATGCCCTAAGACAGTTTCCAAAAATGGCAATTTATTTCTACTTTTAACATATTGTATGTTGGTAGATATTAATAGTTATTAAGAAAATAACAAAAAGAAGTTAAAGACATGGAGTAGTTGCATGTCCATTGAATTCATAGAGAAATTAGATTAAAAAAATAGAATAAAAATCCAAGTGAACAAAATTAGTGATGAAACAGTGGATGCCATGCACACAGAACTGATGTGCTAAAGTAGATACATGTCTCAACTCATGATTTAACAATCTGTGTGATGCTTTACTATCCGAATGATATAAATTGCTAATATTGAAGTAAGGAGAAGAAATTTGACTGAGGAAGTAATAATTGATTCCCTTAAAAGTGGTCAAAGCATATTACAAATGTATTGGGTGTGGATATTTTTATGGGAAAGTTGTTAAACTTCTAACAAGTTTACAATTGTCCTTCTGCCTGGAACTTGTCCTTGACTCCCAAGCATGGGTGAGATGCTGGGAGAGGGTGGAAGGGACAACGGCACCTGGTCAATCAGTTTCCCAAAGTGGCACTTTTTGCTTTTTGTTATGTGAGGTGCTCCACAGGTAGGAGACTAGGACTGTCTTGATGAAAACAGCATGGAGAATGTCTCCATCAACTTACTTTCTTCATAAAAACAGAGCACGATGATCACGGAGGCATAATGTGCTGGCGTCACCCTGTGACCAAGAAGAGAGGGGTGACTTCTGATAGGGACTCTCTTTTTCAGGATCCTTCCCATTAGGTGTGGTTTCAAGGTTACCTCAGTTTCAAAGTAACCCTTTCTGTCCAGGGCCCCAAAGCCCCGATTTACCGCTTATAAGGCCAGTGGTTCTCAGCCTCAGATTCACATAAGAATCACCTGGAAAAATTTTGATTTTCTTTGTCATCCGTGTTATTGAGGTACATGTTACATGCAATAATATGCACCCATTTAGAATGCACAATTTGATACGTTTTGAAAACGTTGTGCATCTGTGTAACGAACACACAGTCAAGATTTAGAACATTTCCAACACTCCAAAAGGTCCCTCAGGTCCTTTGTAGTCAACCTTTTCTCAGCACCATCCACCCCTTCTCCACCCACCCACCCCTTCTCCTAGGAGGTGATGCAGTGCTTTGGGGACGGGGGCAAATGGAACATTGGAGCTGAAGGATGATTCAAATTAGTAGATTGATTACAGGCACCATGCATATCCGTAAAAGAGTTAGGAGAGGAGGTTCTGTGAGGCAGAGAAGGTTAAAACAGGGTTTCTCCAACTCAGCACTGCTGACATTTTGGACTGGATAATTCTTTGTTTCAGGAGCTGTCCTACATATTCTAGAATGACTAGCAGCATCCCTGGCCCCTACTGGATGCCAGTAGCATCCCCCTAGTTATAACAACCAAATATCTTTTTAGAATTGCCAAGTGTCAATCCTCCCATCTCCCCTCAAGAACCACTAGGTTAAAGCATTATCTTCTCTCTAGAGGCCTTAAAGGGCTGCAGCCCATTTCGCCTAGAAGTTCCTTCCCCTTTCCTTTTCCTGCCAGGCCATAAGACTTTCACTTTCATTTCTCAGCCACTCCTCCTCAGGAGAGAGAAACTACTTCCCCCAGAGGATCTGCTTTGGTGAGTGAATCCAGACTACTCCTGCCCCTGGCTTTTCCTCACCCCAGATTCCGCGGGTATGTGCAGAGGCTTGTGGCCAGGGTGAAGGGGCGGGGGTGGGGGTCTCCAGGAGGAAAGTTCTAAGTGAAGTTTGATTTATGACTCTGAGGCAGCTCTGCTCTGAGGGAAGAAAAGCCAGTTTGCAGGCTCCTGCTTCAAGCCCAGACTGCGGAGGGACGGCCTTGAAAGCAGTGTTGAAGAGGCAGAAGGCGTGTTTGTTTTCTGGAGGGACCTTTATTTCTCTATGTTGAGTCCATCCCCATCCCCTTCCTATTCTACAGTTCTGATTTCCTACCTTGTGAGGGGAACAGGAATCCTCTCCCTCCCCCCCATAAAGAGATAAACAGAAGGTGTCTTCTTTTCTGCCCCCTTCTACCTACTCAGAAGCTGGTGAGAGGACGTCCCTGTTTTCCAAGGGTGTGCAAACCCAAGCTGCTAGTCTGGGGCATCAGATAGAGCCTCAGCCTCAGGGGCTTGGCCAGGGGAATACCGAAGCTGGTTCTTTTCACTTCCCTCCTGGCAACTGCTGAGGGGCTGTCCATGGCTGTCCCGACACATCCTCAGCCCTTGGCCTGCCTGAGGACAGCAGGTTGGATGATCTGACTCCTGCCTGCCTCTGTGTCGCCTTTTATCCTGTGTCCTCCTGGAGCTCCGGTCTGAGGACTCTACTTGCGCGTCCCTGAATACACCTGCTTACTTTCACTTCAGTAGCCCATACGGCACGGGTGAACTCACCTGCCTTAGAACTTGAATCTTCATCGTCCCTCCTCTTAGACACACCTTTGCATTGATTATTACGTCAGCTTCTTACTGTTTTATTTTTTTTTACCTTGCTTGGAACTTATTAACAGGAGTTGGTTATTACTCAGAAGGATACATTGGTCTTGCTAAGAAGTTTGGCACTGAGTATGCCCCATCTTAAGCTCACACGTGAGCAGTTTTCACCTTGGTTGATATGCCACAGACGTCCTAACACACGCTGTCCTGTCCTCTGCTCCCACTGCCCCTGCGTTCCTGCAAGTCTCTGCCTGACTCCTGGATAGGTCAGTGTCTGCCCCCATGCTGACTGTCACCCCAGGGCATAGTAGCACAAGGCCCAACATAGTATAAAATGGATTTATTTGTCTGTTTATTTATTTATACTTTAATTCATAGGAACTGAAGCAGGCTGCTGATGTGAAATAGTTCAATAAGCATCAACTTGACATTTGATAAATACAAAATACACACGAGAGCCCACATTCCAGTTAGGGAATGGCCATAAACGAACAGTAAATAATTGATAGAGTACACAAGAAGGTGATGAATGCTATGGAGTAACATTTTTAAGAAGTTGAATTAGGATAAGGATTCTGTAGAATCTTCCTAAAGGCCTTACAACTTTAAATAGTTCTCACGAAGGCCACATTGTGAGAAGGAGATATTTGAATGAAAGCTTAATAATGTGAGGAATTTAAAGGCTTTAATGGTTTCTCCCTGGGGTTGAAAGGGGACAAGTATGGGTTGGGGAGGAGTGTGCTGGGAGACAGGCAGTGGGAGGGGATGTGTGATGTGGACCTGCCTGGACCCTTCTAAAGTGTGGCCTCACTCTGGATGGCATGGCTTTGAGCAGAGGAGTGACAAGATTGACATGTGCTAAGGGGACCACTTTGGCCAGTGATTTAAGAACAATGATGAGAGCGGAGTGAAGAGGGCAATGACAGAATCAGGGAGACCAAGGGGAGAACCATTTCCTGGAAAACAGGTGGCTTCTACCAGAGTGGTGGCAGTGGAGCTGGTTGGAACTAATGAAGGAAACATCCTCAGCATATTCTGATGAACTGAGAGAAAAGGACAAGACTTCAGGTAGCTCAATGAAAATGATAATGGTCCTGTGTTTAAAAAGTGACTTCTTTGAAAGATATCGACGAGAACACTAGAGCTCTTGGGGAGAGGTTCATTAATGTGATACAGATTTAGCTTTGGACTCTAAGGATGGCTCAAGCAAGAACTCTGTGCATAGAGAAATGGGGAGGAGAAATTGCACTGTTTCTTAGTTCCCCAGGTCTCCAGATGCCCAGAACAGGTTCTGCTTTTCCCATTGGCAGTTCCTGACCCAGGGACCAGGAGAAGCGTCTAGGATATTGTCTAAAAGCTTCAAAGGACATCCTTCTCTACATGCCACTTCCTAGAGACACTCTAGTTTTACTGTCTAACCTGCAGAGAGACACAGAGTTTGCATTATCACGAGTCCAGATGTTAGGAGAAGACTCAAATGAAGGATACAATCACCTGACACCTGTGGTGGTCAGATGACTTGGGAGTTTTATCAGGCAGATGGCGCTCATGTTCCCATCGCTACCTTCCTGACTGCTGCTGGGCTTGGGTCACTCTTGAGCGGTGCTGGGGTCATTTCCCATACATGGGACTCTGGCTCCTCTGCACTTTCCTTGTTCTTTGGCCATTATGGTGGCAGCTGCTTTGACATTACTGTGTAGCCCTACTGTGAACATGAGCTCGCAGCCCCATGGCAGAATGCATGTTCCACTACTCCCTCTTCTGTAAGCCCTTGGTGTTTCTCAGTATTGGTTGGATACAGATTGGAATAAGAGATAGAGAACCCCACATCCACAGGTAGCTCATAGCTTCAGTCATAAACAGGGGCGGGTATTAATCACATCATATAAACCCCTGGTCTTGCTAGTCATCAGAGCCTGGTCTGACCAATAGCCACTGTAGCCAGGGGTTACCAGCATTTAGCCTTTGGATGATTTTTAGTATCTGTTCCATTGGCTGGATTATACCTGCCAGCCCACTTTCGGCTTTTTTCCTCTTTAGTTGCTTTTCATGGATAGTTGGGGAAGTAGGCAGGTCTCTAGGTCTAGATTTATCTCCATACAGCTTTTATTATGCCCTACCCTTTCTTTTGCAGGCTAGGGGAAGTTTTATATGTTGTTGCATATCCCAGATCTTTTACTATCAAACCTTTTCAATTGTATTAGATTCCTGGGACTGTTGTAACAAATGATCACAAACTGGATGGCTTAAAGCAATAGGAAATTATTCTCTCACAGTTTAGGAGTCCAAACGTCCAAAATCAAGGTGGTGACAGACTTAGTTTCATCAGGAGACATTAAGGGAGAATCTGTTCTATGCCTCTCTCCTAGTTTCTGGTGGTTTCTAGCAATCCTTGGCATTCCTTGGCTTGTAGCTGCATTACTCATATCTCTGCCTCTATTGTCCCCTGGCTTTCTTACCTGTGTGTCTGTGTGTCACAAACAGACAGGTCACTGGATTTAGTACCCTACAGATCATTGAATTTAGGACCTACAGATCATTGAATTTAGGGGACTATTTTGTTACAAGAGTCACAACCCTCTTGTGAGGCTTGTGCTTATCAAAAAATAATAAATAAAATAAAATACTGGAGAATGTAATGCCAATGTCAGGGAAAAAAGGACTTAAGCCTAATGATAACCCTTTTTTCCCCACATGTCCAATCTAACTCCCAATCTTGTCTCTTTTATCTCACCTATTTCTCACTCCCATCTGCTTGTATTTCCTCCAACAACTTACTCTACATTCTTCCATCACTCCCCCAGGCCCCGTTCATTGGAAAGAGACTGTCACTTTGACATCATTTGAAAAGTGTCACATATCCATGTCCCTTCACACTCTTGTGATGCCGAAGACCTAGGAGTTCTTTGCATACCAACCACATTGACATTTTAAAACTTCAGAAGATGCTATGATGCTATGTCCTCCATCAACAGGCATTCATGTATGCCATTCTTTCTACCTAAAATATCTTTTTTCTTTCTCATTCAATATCTCCTTCTCACCATTCAGCTTTCAGTCTAACTCTCACTTATTCAAAGAGGATATCTTGGAAAGTCCCCTATTTAACAAATTATTTGATTTCTCAAAAACATATACCTCTGTATGGTACTGTTTATCACACCTACCAGTTTACTCTTTTACTGATGATTAATTAGCTTCTGTCTTTTTTAGCTGACTATTAATTTTATTATGGCTAATACCATCTGTTCATACTCAACTTGGATTTGTGGATTTTAATCCATTTCCTGGATTTTAATCACTGAAGATAATCTATTTTCAGTGAGAATTTACTGAATGAATAAATGAATAATTGGCATTCAATTAGTGGATGTGGATTTGAAACAGAATAGAACTTCATCTCTTCAAAATGTGATCTCTGCTTATATATTGAGACTTCTTCCCCATGACTACCAGCCGTCTCATTGATATTTCTGTTCCTCAGCTTTCTTACATGCGTATCAATCTTTGCTTTATGTGCACCATCTCCTGTGCCCTACAAACATAAACCTTTAGCCTCCTATCAACATATTTGACATATTTCCCAGCCATGATACAATCCCACCATCTACAAACACAAGACCCCCTCTTAACTTCCCAGCTTGCCTGCATTCCTCCATTTCTACACTCTCATAGCATTGGATACCAATCTACTTCTTTCAGGCTTTACGTATGCTGGTCTTTGTTTAAATATGTGAGGTTGCACCCAACATAGATTGGATATTATGTTCACTCCAATTCTGCCTATTGAGTTGGATAATCTTTGTAAGTCACTTAATTCTATTTGTCCATCTAAAGAAAGGAAGCAGTCTTATTTATCAAGAATTTCTGGAGGAGGAACAAATAGGTCAAAGTAATCTCTAAATTGTAAGTGGTTATGAAATTGTTAGTGATAAAATTATCCCCATATTGTGGTCATTGCTGTTTCTGTTGGTATCTCTGGGAAGTGTGTGAGATCATGCAAGGACTCTGTGTGGGCAGGTATGTTAAAATGTAAACACTTCTTCACTGGAGACCATATCTGTGGTCCCAAAGCTCAGCTATTTGAGAATTTCTAAATGACGGAAAGAAATAGTGAAACACTGATAAGAAAAGTCTAATCATCTATGAAAACATGTGTCAAACATTGTGTTCCTGTGTGTGTTCTAGACACTTGGGATGCAGCAGTAAAAAAATAAAAGTGCATAACCTATGTGTGTATTATATTTTGGGAGAGGAAAAGTAGATATTTTTAAAGATAGATACCATGTATTATATGGTGATAATAAGACAGATGACAAATGTACACTGAGTGATGATTTTGTGTTGTGCTATCAATAAGCTAATCAGAGCAGGCCCTTCTGCTGAGGGGACACGTGAGGAGTCAGTTGAATGAAGTATAAATGAAAGTCATGCAAGTATCAGCAGGAGGATTATTCCAGGCTGAGCAGAGAGCAAGTGCAAAAGCCCTAAGGCATTAGTGGCTGACCCAGGCCACTGAATTCCATTTCTTCTTTTTTGTCCTCCAGTGGTTGTAGCCTTGGCCAGTCCTTGATGTGGGAAAGTTAGAAACCTTTTTATTTGTATCATTCTTATACCATCCCTTTTCAATCTGTCCAGCCATCCAGGAGTCTTTAAGCAAGAAGAGCCTCAGGAGTTAGAGCAGGAAGAAGCCAGGGAAGCAGTGCAATCGATGGCTTCAACAATCCTGCCGAATGTACAGAAGGAGGTGACCTGTCCCATATGCCTGAATCTTTTGACAGAACCCTTGAGTCTAGGCTGTGGCCACAGCTTATGCCAAGCGTGCGTCACTGTGAATGATGAGGAGGCAGTGATTGGCCCAGGAGCGACAAGTAGCTGTCCCGTGTGCGGTACAAAATACTCAGCTGGGAACCTGCGGGCTGATCGGCATCTGGCCAACATAGTGGAGAGACTCAGGGAGGTCAAGTTGAGTCCAGACTATGGAAAGAAGAGAGATCTCTGTGACCGCCATGGAGAGAAACTCCTACTCTTCTGTAAGGAGGATGGGAAGGTCATTTGCTGGCTTTGTGAGCGGTCTCAGGAGCACCGTGGTCACCACACATTCCTCACGGAAGAGCTAGTCAAGGAATGTCAGGTAGGGCCCTGGATGGAAAGAGACAGAGCAGCAAATGGTACTTGGTGGGAAATCTCACCTTTCCATCCCTCTGTACTCCCCTTGACACCATAGTCATTCCTTCTGTGATCTCGTTCCATGTACATCTTTTACCTTACACTAAGCTTCCAATGTCTGGGGTACATGTCTGTGTATTCCTTCCATTTGCATAAAGAATGAGCCTAGAGTACAAACAGTCTCTTGGCCAAGGGTAAGAGGTTTCTTGGGTTTTTGCCTCCTTTCATTGTGTAGCTGGTGAATTCTTTCCCAGAGTTAGCTCTCACTGCTCCTCTCAGCAGGATGATTATGGGGAAACACTGTAACTGAATAAGGAAAAGACATTGATAAGAGGAAAGGACTTTCCTTTTGGCAAGTGGGTACTTACTGTAAGGGAAGAGAGAATCAGGCTACTCTTGGTGAGGGAATGGTGCCTTCTATCACCCAGGAACAGAGAATATATTCACCTTCTCAGATTCTCAGACTTTTTTTCATGTCATAGATTCTAATAACCAGCCTCCCAATTTCTGTAAATTGGTCTTTTCTGGGATCAACTTGTTTGTCCTTTACCCAGGTGCTGAGAAAGCTCATAGCTTAACTCTGATATGATTCTTTTCTCCCAGGAGAAGCTCCAGGCAGTCCTCAAGAGGTTAAGGAAGGAGCAGCAGGAAGCTGAGAAGTTGGAAGCTGACATCAGAGAAGAGAGAACTTCCTGGAAGGCAGGAGGGAACTCTTTCTGAGGATTTCTGAGACAGGAATCTTTGTAGGACCTTTGGTCCTAATCCAGGGAGGTCTCCTATTTGTTCCCTGACATTGAATGAGTCCTAAAGCCATTTCATTAGTTTTCTTCTTTGTACTATCCCTGTCGGGGCTGGGGGCTGGAAAGTGGGCATGTTACAAGTACACAGATAATTGGAATTGAGCACAAGGATGAACTCGATGGTGAGGAAGGCTGCAGAATACTGTGTTCCATTTCTCTTTTCCAATGAAGCTCTGATACTTGTGGTAGAAGACACTGAACAAAGGATCAGGGTTTTCCTCAAGGTTCCAATTGAGAGTGTGGTAATGCAGAAAGTCATGAGTCCAGCACAGTGTCCAGGACAGCTGTCTACAAACCAAGCCTCATTTTTGTCTCAGGGTTGGCCTACATAAGACAATCTGAGGTCATTGTTCTAGTAGGCACTGAAGGGAAAATAATAAGAAAAAAACAGCTTCCCCCAAAATTACTCTCCTCCTTCTACTCCCTGCCTTGTTTGAAATCCATGGAAAATATTTCTTTTCCTGGCTCCTAATTCCTTTCACAGGCCCTCGGCCTGGCAGACTCCTTACCTCTCTCCCTTGTCCACCCTGGCAGTATCAGGTACAGACTGAGAGACAAAGGATACAAGCAGAATTTAATCAGCTCAGAAGCATCCTCAACAGTGAGGAGGAGAGAGAGCTACAAAGATTGGAAGAAGAGGAGAAGATGACACTGGACAACTTGTCAGAGGCTGAGGATGAGCTAGTTCAGCAGAAACAGTTGGTGAAAGAGCTCATCTCAGAACTGGAGCGTCGGGCTCAGTGGTCAACAATGGAGCTGCTGCAGGTAAGAAGAATCACCCAATCAGAGATTCTGGAAACACAGCCCGTTTCCCTTTCTTTTGTGTCCTTGGGCTCTTATCCGGGTGCTGTCACCAAGAGGTTGCTTTGCCTTGCAGTGTCCTTCTTTGTCATTCATTCCAGATGTCATGGGGATGATTGAATATAAGCATTCTAGAAGTGTATCCCATTTTTTGTAATTTATGAAGTAAGGGAACACATTTGACCTTGGAGAGAAGAGCCATAGTATCCAGTGGCAGTCTCTGGCCCCCTGCTATCTGTGATCTAGTGTTGGACATTTGTCAGTCTTCTTTTTACTTAGATTAGTCACAGGCAAACACATGCATTTTCAGGTTTAAGACATGTTCTATTTTTTTTAATTAAAATATGCATATTTATTATTGCCAATCTCTCATTAATTTTTTAAAACATTAAATTACATAATATAGAGCCTTTCTGGGGTAGAGTTGGGCAAATATGTAGACAGGCACACACAAGCTTGAGTGGGATATGTGAGTGTGTGTGTATGTGTGTTGACTAGGACAGAATGCTGGAATAAATCTATAGAGACTTGATGGAATAACTTGAACTAATGTTAACATTTAAATAATTTTTTTTCTACAAGGTACTTTTTGCTTGACTTTTTGTCTATCTGCTCCCCCTGCCCTTTTTTTTTTTTTTTTCTTTTGTTCTATTACCAAATGTTTCTGTTTTAAATTCTGGTACCAAGCAGAGGGGCGATTGATTTTCATTTGTTGGATTATTTCCTTTGTCTCTGGTGCTTACATTTCAGCTTCTTTTTAGTCCTCTCGACTTTTGTCTTCTTCTTTTTTTATTTAATATTACTTTGGAACAGAGGTTCCTAAACATTTTTTTAATGTGTTAGAATTACCTACAGTGCTAATAAAGACCTTGCATACTCAGGCCCATTGTAGTAAAACAGGGCCTGAGCCTGAGTATTTTTACCAGGTTCTCTAAGCAATTATAACACAAAACAAATTTGAGCAAAAAACTGCAATAGGTCTTTTCAACAACTTAGGCTGTAACAACTGGATATCTGCATGCAAAAGAATGAAGTTGAACCCCTACCTCACACTACATACAAAAATTAACTCAAAGTAGACCAAGAACCTGAATATGACAGCAAAAATTATAAAACTATTAGAAGAAAACATAGATATAAATTTTTGTAGCTTTGGACTAGGCAATAGTTTCATAGATATGATATAAAAAGCTGAAGTAATCAAAGAAAAAGTAGATAAATTGGAGTTCATCAAAATTAAAATAGTTTGTGCTACAAAGGACACCATGAAGAAAGTGAAAAAGCAGTCTACAGAGTGGAAGAAAAGATTTACAAATCATATATTTCATAAAGTTTAATATACAGTTTACTATCTCTCTCTTACAACTCAAAAATAAAAAGACAAGCAACCCAATTTAAAAATGAATAAAGAACTTGAGTACACATTCCTCCAAGGAAGAGGTACAAATGGTCAATAAGCACATGAAAAGATGCTCAACATCATTAATCATCAGGGAAATACAAAATCAAAATCACAATGAAATACCACTTCACACCTATTAGGATGGATATGATCAAAAAATGGGCAATACTAAGTGTTGGGGAAGGTGCGAAGAAATTGAAACCTTCATGAATTGTTGGTAGAGATGTAAAATAGTCAAGCTTCTTTGGAAAACTGCTTGGCAGTTGGTCGAAAACTTAAAGACAGAGTTCCCCTATGTCCCAGCAATTCCATTCCTACATATATAGTATATACCTAGAAGAATTGAAAACATATATCCACATATAAACTTATATACAGAAGTTCATAGCAGCATTGTTCATAATAGTGCAAAAATGAAAACAACTCAAATCTCCTTAACTGATATATAGAGAAGCAAAATGTGTTATATCCAAACAATGTAGTATTATTTAGCTATAAAAAGGAATGAAGTAATAATACATGTTACAATGTGGATGAACCTTGAAAACATAACGTTAATTGAAAGAAGCAGACACAGTTATGGGTTTTTTTTTTGTATGATTCCATTTATATGAAAGTCTTTAAATGGCAAATTCATAGAGACAGAAATTATATAGTGATTGCCAGGGCTCTGGGGAAGGATAAATAGGAAGTGATTGCTAATGAGTACACGGTTTCTTTTTGGAGTGATAAAAAATGTTCTGGAATTAAATAGTGTTGATAGTTGCACAACATTGTAAATATACTAACACCTACTAAATTGTGCACTGTAAAAGGTGAATTTTATGACATTTGAATTATATCTCAGTAAAAACAAAGGCCCCTTTTTATAGCTCCTCCCTAAGCTCTTCACAGCCCTTTCAATTGGCATCTTCATGAAAGAATTACTGTGTTTATGTCACTTGTTCAGGCATCTTTGCTATTTAATTCAGTTGGAGCTGCTATTTGGTCACTTGTAATAAAAACAATTTTAATACATCAAAAATTATAAAATTTGTGGAATTAACATCCCACATCTAGATGTTAGCCTCAAAGAAGGGCAAATGGACAATCAAGGAAGTTATTCTTTTACCTAATTAGGGATTTGGCCATGATTAGAGATAAGAGATGATTCAACACATAAATTTTGAAATCAACAGCACCTATGTGTGAGCTAAAATTAAGATCGGAAGAGGTCACCTATAGGTAGTGGATAGAGCAGGACTTTTCTATACGTAAGACCACGTCATCTGCAAATAGAGATAGGTTTACTTCTTTCTTTCCAATATAGATGCCTTTTTTTCTTTTCTGTGAGTAACTGTCCTGACTAGAACCTCCAGTACCATGTTAAACAAAAGTAGTGAGAGCAGACATCCTTTATCTTTTTCCTGAACTTAGGGAAAAAGCATTCAGTTTTTCATCATGAAGGATGATGTTAGTTGTGGGTTTTTCATAGATGCCCTTTATCACACTGAGAAAGCTCCTTTCCATTCCTAGTTTGTTACTATTCCACTTTTGTTTTTATTATGAAAGTCTGTTGAATTTTGTCAAATGCTTTTTTTCATGTTTATTATATCGTCATGTGGTTTTTATCTTTTATTCTATTAAAATCGTGTATTACATTGATTGATTTTCTTGCAGTTCTAGGATAAATTCTATTTGGCTATGATGTATAATCTTTTTATATTTTTCTGGCTTTGATTTTCTGGTACTTTGTTGAACTTTGTGTCTATATTTATAAGCGATATCGGCATAGTTTTCTTTTCTTGTGATGTCCTTGGATTTATTATCAGGGTCGGACGAGCCTCATGTTATGAGTTAGGAAGTGTTCCCCCCCTTCAATTTTTTTTAAAGAATTTGTGAAGTATTGGCATTATTTCTTTTTAAACCTTTAGCAGAATTCACCAATAAAGCCATCTGCATCTGGACTTTTCTTTGCATGAAGTCTTTGATTTTCAGTTCAGTCTCTTTACATGTCTTAAGTCTATTCATATTTTCTATGAATAGAGTTTCCATATTTTTTAATCAGTATTGGTAGTTTCTGTATTTCTAGGAATTCATCTATTTCATTTAGGTTGTCCAATTTATTGGTATACAATTGTTCATAATCTTTACAATTCTTTCAATTTCTGTAAGGTCTGTGGTAATGTCCCATTGTTCATTCCTGATTTTTTTCTTGGTGTGTAAAGCCAAAGGTTTGTCAATTTTGTTGATATTTTCATAATTCATTTTTTTATTTCTCTGGTTTCTCTATTGTTTTTCTAGTCTTTCTTTCATTAACCTTGCTCCTATCTTTATACACTTTGATTCATGTTTTCTTTCTTCTTCCTAGGACAGGAGTGGAATCATGAAATGGTATGTATGGATGGCCAGAAGTGATTCTTTTGTGTTACGAAAAAGGGTTTGTAGCCATTAGAATTATTTGGTGATCAATCAGAATAAAAAATCTCCCAGAGTAGGGAAATTTGGATCTCATATTTTCTTAAATTGGGGCCACAGATGAGGATTTGAGTGCTCCATATTGAGAATGGATCAGATTCCATGGTAGTAAATCTGATGGTTGAAATTCAGAAAGGATATTAATGATAAGAGTTTTACTATCAGACTCCTGTGGCTTCACTCATTTACTTGACCTGTCTGCATCCAGCTCTGTATCTTTCATTTCGTAAGTGCTTGTAATATCAGAGGGGGGGCTTATGAAGTCCTAAAATAGGGCATGGGGACAGCTCCTTTATATTTACTTTACTTACATGGGAATAAAAGAGACCAGATCATTCTACAAGGCTCTCTTTGGATTTCCAAAATTAGACCTGAGCCTCAAGACTTTGACTCTAGTGCCAATAAATAATCTCTTCCTGTTCACACACTTTCAAAGCTCACATGGAAAAGTATAACCCTTGTGTCTAAAGTTGCCAACCCACCTGGCAGCATCAAATTCCTTACAAACATATGAAATTCTAACCATTTTTTGGTTAGTGGTTATAACTTCTCCTTTGCTAAGTGTTTATAAGTTTTTCCCAGAGAATCTGAAATCTCAAATGTGGGCCACACCCCTGGAGTTCAAGCTTTGGTCTAGGGCACAGGTTCATAAGTTTTTCATACAGGGACCCACATCACAGCCATGATCTGCAGCTTCAGTCTTGATTTGCCTGGAAACCCACATCTCTGGCCCCTCCCTGGAAGACCCACTGAGGTGCAGAGTTTTCCACACATCTTATACCACTTTTAGAAGTAGCAAAGGCTTTTCCTATGCATTATTTCCATGAGGTATCAAAGGAGGATTTAATTACTCCACTTTAAGACAAAGGAACCATACTTTCACAAGGTGAAGACATTCTCAAGGTCACACAGAGAGTAAATGGGAAGGTAGACCCCAGCACATTTCTTCTAGATCTCGGGTCAGGGCTCTCTATGTTCTCATCTCCTCAGACTCTTCAGGGCAGAGGGTCCAAGTACCTCAATGATGTGGAAGAAGAGAAAGCCAATGGTGTTGGAGGGATTGACACAGGATAAGAGATGTGGGGGATCGCAATTTTTTTTTCATCCTCAGGAGTGAGATCTGGATGCTGAAAAAGCCAAAAGCTATTTCCAAGAAACTGAAGACTGTATTCCGTGCTCCAGATCTGAGTAGGATGCTGCAATTGTATAGAGGTGAGGAGAGAAGAAGAGGAGTGTGGATGTGGGATTCCTGTGGTGTCAGCAAGTAAATTACATAGCTGATATAGCTTAAACATGAGAATAGAAGAGAGGGAGGAGATCAGAGAAGAAGGGATCTTCTGCAATCAAGAGGATATGCTTATATCTAAGAGAGAATGGCTGAGTATCTGGTTCATTCATTCACCAGTTCACAGCTTCATAGTACTCCTCTCCTCTGCCCCTACTCTAGAGAAGAGATAGGTATAAGTGCTTACTCCTTTATTTCTAATCAACATCATTGAATCTTTTATTATTTCAGAGCTAACAGATGTCCGATGCTACTGGGGTAAGAAGAAGTTACAGAGTCTTTAAATTGCTGTGTTCTTATCACTTTTGAGAAGTTTGTGGTTTCAGTGAAATCTTATGATCTTAGCCTCATATGTTCTCTGCACCTCTCAACACGTATACGTAACACATTTCTCACAACATCACTAGATAACCCCACTCCATGTCTGTCACCTGATCTTATATATATATATATTTTTTTTTTCTGCAGTGGACATCACACTGAATCCAGTCAACCTAAATTTGAATCTTATCCTTTCGGAAGATCAAAGACAAGTTTTATCTGTGCCAATTTGGCCTGTTAAGTTTTATAATTATGGTATCCTGGGATCCCAATATTTCTACTCAGGGAAACATTACTGGGAAATAGATGTGTCCAAGAAGACTGATTGGATCCTGGGGGTATACTGTAGAACACGCATCCACAATATAAAGTTTGCTGTTGGAAAACGCACAAATCATAAAAATGTTTACTACAGATACAGACCTATATTTGGCTACTGGGTTATAGGGTTACAGAATAAATTTAAGTATAGTGCATTTGAGGACTCTTCCTCCTCTGATCCTGAGATTTTGACTCTTTCCATGGCTGTGCCTCCCCATCGTGTTGGGGTTTTCCTAGACTATGAGGCAGGCACCGTCTCATTTTTCAATGTCACAAACTATGGGTCACTCATCTACAAGTTCTCTCATTGTTGCTTTTCTCAGCCTGCTTACCCATATTTCAATCCTTCGAACTGCCCAGCCCCCATGACTCTGTGCCCACCGAGCTCCTGAGTTTCTTATTCCTCCACCTACCCCTTGTTTTGAGGCTCATCTCTTGCATCTGAGCTTATCTACACCATTCAGATCATCTCCTCCTTGCAATCTCCCTTTTTTACCTCAGAACTTTTATTCTTCCTTGCGATGTTATGGTGTATTTGGTTTGAGTTAAGAGAGATGCTTATTGTCTCATTTAGTATTTTTTATATTTTCAAAGAGTATATACTTTTTATTTCCTTTGAGTATATACACAGAAGAGAGCTTGCTGGGTCATATGGTAGTTCTATTTTTAATTTCTTTAAAAACCTCTGTGCTGTTTTCCACAAAGGCTAAAGAAAGACATCTAATCTCTCCTACAGACAGAGCACTATTAGCATAACATCCTTGATCTCCCATTTCTCCATATTTCCGTTTATCACTGATCTGAAAAGACTTAGTGAAGTCCGTTAGCTACTATCCATGTTATCTGTGATAGTCCGCAGGAACCACCAACATGACCACCACCAATAACAAGTAAGGAGTCTGACTGTGTGTCAGTTTGTTGTCCAGAATATGCCAGGTTCATCAAGGAGTTGAGAAGAGAAAAACATAAGCAATATATATACCCAGTGAAAATTTTATGTAGAGAATGTTTAAGTTCAAACTCTTGTCTCTTATTTTATAATCTGTGTAATGATGAATAAATTCTCGGTTTCTTTTTCCTAAAATACAAATTGGGATTTAAAACCACACCTAACTCTTAAGGTCATTGTCTAAAACTAAATGTAAAGTACCTATTTAACTGTCTTGTATAATAATAATAAACATTTGCTCTCATGATTATGGAAAAGTG